GGAAGAGAAAGGAAGGAGGGAGGGAAGGAAGGGATGAGAAAAAAAGGGAAGGGGAAGGAAGGAAATGGATAGGATAGGATTCTCTCAACATGTTAAAATAATACTAACCCTCACCCCACCCCACATTATGGTTTTAGAGCGAGGTGTGAAGCCAGAGCCTAAGATCAAAAACGGAAACCTTTCAATAAATGGCCTCGAGTTTTGAAACCAGCAGAGTGGAGGAGGGGAGAAGGGAGAGAGAAAGAGATCGACACCATTTACAAGATGTGTACCCTGTGAAACATTTGAATTCACCCACGTTTCTCAAATTCACTACTTTTTGGGGAGGAGTTTTATCTCTCGCCTTCACCTTCCCTTTCCTAGTTTCGTTTCTTCTTTCTTATTCAAATGGCAGAGCAATTAAAATGTCGCTTAGCGCTTGTCTGTCTGCGTTGTTGGGGATTATTAACACCCTAACACTAAAGCCTAAACCTTTTCCAGCGGCTGGGCCTTGGGAGAAAGTGGAAGCGACCACGCAGCTCCGGATAGGCTAGTACTATTTCAATCCTAACTAAGCTTACCTTTTAATTCAGCGGAATTTATTTAAATCTAAATAAAAATGTGGAGGGTTGCAATAGTGGTTTTTTTGTTTTATTAACTTTATAAATAACTGTTTCCCACTCTATTTCCCCCAAAATACCACCCCTGTGAGATGAATGAGCGGGGAGAGAGTGACTGGCCCAAAGTCACGCGCACTCTATCCAGTGTTGTTCCTTATTTTTTTAGTCAACAGCTGTGTGAAAATATAATTATACGTGCGTATACATATGTACATATAGCTACTATGTAAATACACTATTGCATCCCTAGATAACTAATACCCAAAGCAAAAGAAAGAGGCGTAGCTATTTCAGCTTCCATTTCTGACGATTTTCTAAGCTAAAACATCGAAGAGCCTTGCAATGCCTTCACAAAATACCTGTATACACAAAACGAAATCCTATTGAGTGGCCAATGGGCTTATTCCATAGACTAAGTTGAACGGGTACATCGTAAACTGAGCAACAACAGGGAAAGAATTTGCCGATAAGAAAAAGAATAACGGGAAAATGTTGCAAAGTGTGGAGTGAGAGAAGTGAAAGAGCCTCACTTATCACACGAGGGAGGGTAGTTTATGTTCTCCAGGAATACGCACGAACCACAGGGAAAGGTGTGCCGCTTGGGTTAGGAAATTCCTGTGTGTGATAGGAACCAATAGGTTTGCCTTTATCTCGAGACTGAGAAGAGAAACGTAGCGCCCTCCACCCCCATAACTGCTTCCCCCTGCCTCGTTTTCGAGCTTATCTACGAAGGAATCGAAGATGTTGTATGGAAAAAAGAAAACAGCTGTCCAGAGGGAAGAAGACGCGGCCCTCGACGTCTCCTCTTTTTGAAAGGATGGGCTGCTAGATTCTAAGAAGGTAAAATAAGGTACGATTCAGCGCGTTGCCCCCTGCCTGGATGCTCCTAGTGTATTGCGGGGGTGTTAAGGTGAAAGATAAAATGAAGTCTTTATGGGTGCGGTTCTCAACTCTCCACGAATTCCTGATTGCTCTATTCTTGAACGCCACGGTTGACTCAAGGCAGGACAAGAACCTGGCCCGAAAAGCAGGACGCCTTCTGTGGAGCGACAGCCGCACCCACGCCCTAAGAGCCGCTTCCAACTATGTGGAGCCCCATCTTCTGAAAGAGACCGCCCCCCTTCCAGTCCTCGATTGATGGGGCAAAAGAAACAGAGGCGGTTTTCTTGGATAGAAGTCCCCTCCCTTTGTTAGTAAAGTTCACTTTTACTTAAGTCCTAAACTTTATTTCGATCATTTTTAGAAAGTCTCGGGGTATCCACAGCAGTATCCTATTTTAAAAAATGGGACTGGGTTAACGCGAAGTTGCACTCCAGCTGGGCTGGAAAGAGAGGGAAACCCCTTCCTTAAGCAGGTCCCAATGAAAAAATTGTCCAGCCAAGAACTTGGTTGAGTTCGGTGGAAAACCTACAGGTGACTTAACTATCTTTGGAAGCAGAGGGTTAGCTGCCACTTTTTACCAACAGGAATTAGGTTGTATTTATCATTTCATCACAGATCCTGATCAGTTATTTTAGAAACAAAAATAGCTACTGTACATTCAAACATCGCGTGGTGCGTTTTAAGGAAATGTCATAAAGAAGGGGTGAAACAAAGCCAACATTGGACAAGGTGTAAGGATTACATTTTCTTTTAAAAATATCTGGAATATATGTTGCAATTTTAAAAAAGAAAAAAATTGAACCGTATGTGGGGGAAATTTGCAAAAAGGAAAGAGCTGCGCCCACAGACTTATTGGCTTTCATAATTACAAGCAGAATCTATTCACAGTAACTAAAATTATGCTGGATTCAGTAGGGTTGATGATGACTATGGGTTTCTTTTCAGTGGTTTATCCTCTAATAATATGAAAGGCTTTTTAAAGCATTTATTTGTTCTCTCCCCTTCCCGTTCCCCATAAAATAAAAGAATTAAAAGAATATATTTAGAAAAAAGAGGTAATAAAATAAAACCTCCTTTCAAAATCTTTGGTTATTAAATAAGCCAGGATCCTAGGAAAGATATGGATAATTTAACAGTAAACAAGGCCTTTATCATTGTGTACCTGTAGGTAAGGGAATATTTAATTTTTGACTCTATTAGCTTGCCTAATGCTACCTTTGTACATCATTCTGGACTCTGTCAAAGCAGGCAAAACCAAACTTCCATTTCACACTCTTAATAGCTCGCCACAAAAAACCATATTCAGAATATTTTTCTTATATTTACATTGCTTTCTACCTTTGTGCCTGTTTCCTTCTGCCTGCAGTGGTTTTGTGCCTGCGAACAAAAAATGAGGGAAGCTTCTTGTATATATACTATCTGTAATAGGCTTACCTCTTCTCACGTTCTTAGATAATCTTGATCTGTTTTCTTCTTTCTCTTTCCAGATGTGTAAATATTTCAAAGAAATCAGATTCTTTTTTTTTTTTTGCTTTCTATATAGATCCTCCTTCTTCAGTCAGGACGAGTTTCTCCAGGTTATTCACCTACTTCCTCAACCTCGAGCCCTCCTGGTTCTACCTTTCAGTTTCACCTTCCTTCCTTCCTTCCTTCCTTCCTTCCTTCCTTCCTTCCTTCCT